AACAATATTCTCTGACTGCAGATCAATTACTCACTACCTACACTGTTGTCCAGTCACGTTGTGAGCGTCTTATTTATATACTAGACTAACATATATCTAGTAAATGCTAGGGCATTCTTGAAGGAACAGGATATTTCTAGAAATACGTGGCGTGATACTAGTCACGTGACCTCCCTGACGCAACAGTATTATACTAAATTACTACCATTTTTTCTCATAAACTAAACGTATATCCAGACATTTAGACAAAAAAAAGAACTACTGAACAAATCTCAGCAAGGCAGAAATAGTTTCTACGACTAGTGCCACGTATAACAGGTGTTGTCCAACACGATTGTATTCAAGTTGTTCTATTGCTACAACTCTTTAAATGAACCAGTTACGTCGAGGAAAATACAGAACTACATAAGCCTTTAAACCAAAAGACCCTACAGTTCAAGCAGTTTCAGAAGGCGGTCAACTCCTTTTCTGAGTGTCACGTCATCGAACATGGTCGCCCTTCCAGCCGTTGGGGCGTTATAATGTAACGGTCAACCCCACTATTCGTTGATTAGCTGCGTTCCCTCTAGTTTATCGCTTCTAAATTAGGGTATGGCTAGAGCAGATAGTCCTCGAGTAGCTTTGCGCGAAATTCAACAAACAAACAAAAAATCATTTACTGGGTAAAAGTTTAAAATGCGTGTGTCACGTGGTGTGATGTAGATATCTCCAGATCTGCTACGATTACTTCAAGTAGATTACTTAAGTTTCAAATATTACAATGGTCCCTTAGGAAAGTACACATGCTTATGGTATGAATGGAATATATGTTGTTTTATTTGTTTATTGATGAGCGCAAAACTACACAATGGCCCATCGTGGGTGTCGAAATCAGAATTTTAGCGTTATAAGTGCTCAAATTTATCGCTGAGCCTCCATGAGGCACATACGTTGTCCCAAGGTAGATGAACAATAAGTTTAAGGACGTTTAACGCTAGAACATAACACAATTTTGTGCTAAAATAAACCAACTAACAAAAATATACATAAGCTATTTTGGAGGAAATGGGTCAAATTTAAGTTATTTATTGTGCTTTAATGTAGAAACGTACATAAGTATAGATCTGTTTTAAGTGATAATGGTTTTGATTCATTATTCTTAATTTAAAACAAAAAAGATTAAGTACGACTCTTAAGTGCTTTACACTTAAAACAGGATATCTTATGAGGTGGTGTTTCAATACCCGATTCTCCAACCATTATTAATACCTGAGTTAATCTGGATCTTCGTGAAGTAGTATGCGTTGACACTGCGTTGTGGAGAAGAGACTGAGCTGCCAGATGTGGTAGTGTTTTGTAGGGTACACAAAGTGTCCTGTAAAGGCCCCAGAGGATCCACTACGAAGCTAAAGCTAACTGCCACACAGTCCACTTTTTCCCGGCACCAGCTCTGACATTCGTACAGGGAAATATTAAGAATTGAAAAGTACGTTGTTCCCGGGAAATCCAAGTTGGTTGACTTCTCGAAAGTAATTCTACCTATAAACAAAATACATCAATCACAGTTTGAATATCAGAACTCTACTCTGATTGGTGAACGAGAAGTGTTGGATGATGGAACTGAAGATATATTAAAGGTAGAAAAAAGTTATTCGTCATCCCGTCCTGTGAACATACACCGCTAGAATCCCAGGTGCGATTCCTCGGGGTGAACACAACAAACAGCTAAATATGACTTTTGTTCTGAAACAAACATACATCTCTTTTTTCATTCACGTGACGACTAGTCACGAACTAGTCTCACTAATAATGCATCATGTGCACATGTTTTTTTGTATTTCTTTTAAGCATAAAGCTACGCAATGGGCTATCTTCGCTTTGCCCACAGCAAGTTTCGAGCCTCTGATTTTTAGCGTTATAAGTTCTCAGACTTACTGCTGAGTCAACGGGGGAGTGTATATCTATACATATATAACATTTGTAAATCATCATGTCTTTGCTATTTAATAAGATTTGAATTATATGATAATTATAAGTATGGGAATTTCCTCGTGTTTCCATTTTGTTTATCTGACAGCTAAGGTTTAACGAAGTGTAATTAAGCGTCTCCTGTACGTTAAGACGAACGCCACTGTCTCTCAAATGTAACATATGTTTTAATTTCATTTGACTTTTTCAGTTAAACAAATAGTTTTAAATATATATTTTTAAGTTTATATTGTTATAGAAAAATGTTCCTATTGTTGTTATAAAGGAAGTATTTGTTGACATTATTAAAAATGTTTCTATTGTTGTTATAAAGGGAGTATTCTTTGTCATTATTAAAAATGTTCCTATTGTTGTTATAAAGGGAGTATTTTTGTCATTATTAAAAATGTTGTATAGCGTAAAAGTATAGCGTATGTTGAAGTTAAAATGACTGTGGAAATTGAGTGTATTGCAAAGTTGAATTGAGAAAGAATAAACTAATTTTATTTGAGAAAGGACTTGTATCGCTGAAGTTCTTCGGAAAGAATTTTTACGAGTAATTAACAAACGACTAGGGACGTAACAATATATATATATATATATATAAATAATGACCTTCACTGACTTGACAAACAAGAATTCTTCACTGTGTGAAAATATTTATGAGTGAATTCAGACGTCAAGATTATACCAGACTAATGGCTCTTCATTCAGTTCACAAAACTTCGAACATCTAATACGTAAATATTCTAGACGGCAAGTTTAAAAGCGCTACGTTACCCACAAGACAGCTTTATCTGGCGACCTAGGAATTCACTTCTAGTGAAACGTGTCCCTTTACAAACGTGTCCCCTTACGGCTTCTAATGAACTGTAAACCGTAAACCAGAAAAAAAAAATCGACAAATAATGTCATTTAACACATCGGCGATTCGATGTCTTCTGGGCCAAACTTTTCCTCTCACGAAAGCAGGAATATCAAAATGGCAGTATAAAAGCGCTTCCTGGTGTTCTACAAGGAACTCTAGTAATAACAATATATTTGTCGTCATACTTCGAAGAAGCGCTCTTAAAAAAATAAATGTGACGATAATGAGCATGTTGAGCGCTTTTCCTAATCGTGTATACACACACACACACACACACACAAAACAAAAACTAAAAATTCATTTGTCCTGACAGCTTCTTCCAGTTGTGATGTTAATTGTTGCCCCTTTTTTCTACACGTCCTGGAAATGTTTGATTTAATTCAACAAATAAATTACAGCATAACCTGGAAGTATACACAGATTTAGTGGAACTGATATCAAACAAATAAACAGTGATTTAACTTTACCTGGTAGAGTGTGTATGTATTTGTTTTATGGCAAAGCCATATTGGGCTATCTGTTGTGTCAGTAACGAGGAATCGAACCCCGGATTTTAACATTGCACGTCTGTATACTTACCTCTGTACTACCGAGGAGTTATCTGGTAGAAACAGCTGTTTAAACTTGAATTATCTGGCAGAAACAGCTGTTTAACCTTGAACTATCTGGTAGAAACGGCTGTTTAACCTTGAATTATCTGGTAGAAACAGCTGTTTAACCTTGAATTATCTGGTAGAAACAGCTGTTTAACCTTGAATTATCTGGCAGAAACAGCTGTTTAACTTCAAGCATCTGTTGATAGAAATAGTTGTTTAACTTGATGTATTATCAACCATAATCGATGAGAATTTTCACTTCCATTCAAATTTTAACAGTTTTGTTCTGGGTGAAAATTCAAGTAAACGATGTTAACTACAAACGAACATAGTTCCAATGGAAATCACTATTTTTTTTAGAAAAGAATGTTCTTTTCGCGTCAGCTGTTCTGTAACTGATTTGTGTTTAGTCAGTTCATTTAAATTATTATAGTAAGATACTGAAATATTTTAAAAACTAAATCTCGTAAATCTACAGTTTAACAGTAGCTTCAATAAACTGAGTTCAAATTTTTAGTGTATTTCAAAATGGGGTCGATTGCGGCCTATATTAGTCACCTTCAAAGACTACGTATATGAAGGCTCAGTGTCCGAGTTCTCATGAATTACGAACTTTCAACATATAAAACTAAGGCTGTTGTATACTTCGACTGAATATATATGAATTGCACGCGATAGAACAACATCTCATATCTCTCAGTTGTTGTTTTTTAAAGTAGAAGAAAAAAATTCGTGAGATATTATTGGATTTACGGCCGAAAATATTTTTAAAGCCAGAGTACCCAAAAGACGAAATAATACATTTTAATCTTTATGTATTTATAATTAAGAAACGCATAGACAATTAGCTATACTCATTATGAAATTCATTTTTAGTTTCGCTCTAAGTAGGTAGCTTGTTCCAATCGGAAGTTAATATTAACTACAAATTTATTTCAAATTAGCCAATTAATGTGGGTATTCACTTTTGAAGATTTTTAGCTGTGAGGCTTAACAGTTATTCTTTGAGTGACTTCGTCTAGTAAAATTAAATTTGATTGTTTTATATCTCTTCAGCAAATCTCTGATAAGCGACACACCCAACAGAACGATATGAGCAAGGTGCGTTGACGTTACGATAAATGATATATGTGTAGAAATCCTAGTGGCAAATTCGTGAAGTTTAAAACAAGGACGATGGTTATAACTTATAAAAGTGAATTGAATTTGCTGGTTAGAGTAAAATGAAGATGATGACAGGGATTTGGAAGTGGGAGGGTGGTTCTAGAATGTTCAAGGAATATCATGGTGTAGATAGGACATCAAGAGATGGTTTGCAGTTTATTAGGTGAGAAATTAGGGTCAAATTGGAAAGGATATGTAGGAGGAGGAAGGGAGCAGCATATGTAAGGAAACAAAATGGAACCTCGTAACTAAGAAGAGTAGGTAAAAAGACGGTCTCTTTAAGAACTACTTTCTGGTGGTAGAGGTAAATCGTCTCTATATTGATTTATCAAATAGTTTGTTAATAGGCCACGCCTAAGGTGATCTGTGTTATTGAGGCGTGTGATAAAAAACAGCGAAAACAAATATAAACAAAAGATTGGTTAGCGAAAGCGCTCGGTTACATCCAGAAGGTGTGAACTTATGACACGCATACCAAAAAATAATACACACAAGACTCAATCCTTCATCTGACATAAAGTACTACCATCATTAAAAAAAAGCCATCCTCACTTAAAAAAACAACAAAGACAAACGACTTTCACAAGAAGCTCAAAATAATTCTTCTGTTCGAAAATTGCAGGTGAAATGGCATTGGTTACTCAAACTGCAGGTGAAATGGCATTGGTTACTCAAACTGCAGGTGAAATGGCATTGGTTACTAAAACTGCAGTGTGCCGTTTATGTAAAAGTCACATTAAATTTTCTAGTTGAGTATGAATTCTCTAAACATTACAATGTTTTAGGAGAGTGGACTTCCTGGACTCTAACAGATTTGTATGGAATCTTTTCATCTGAAAAAACAGCTTATGGATATTTCCTGGAAAATGCTCATTTTTTGGATACTCACAATGTCGGTTCTCTGTTGTATGTCAGTTAAAGCTAAGTGTTCGTGGTTATTACTACGATTACGCTTCGAACGCTTGTCTTTGGAAAGTAGTTGTAAATTTAGTATATACATGACGATTCGTTTGTTTTTAAAATAAGTAAACAGTTTGGTGTTAATAACATTCATAAACCTAGTTCTGATGTGTGACGAAATAAGCTGGTAAAAACTACAGTTCACCAACTTGATTTAATTCATACCGAAATAGTTGTTGTTCAAGCATTTGATAATATATATTATCCTCTCGACCGTTATAACGTCTATCGTATCCGAGCCAGCCAGATGAGTGTTGGAATTGTACGAAAGACCTCGTCGGTACTGGATACGTAATGTGGCTCACATATAATTACACTCTTCTTTACATTTACTCATAAATTCTTATAGTGAAAAAGGCAAACGCTTAAAAAACAGGCAATAAATAAAGACGAGAATGTGTAAATGTATATGAGCTTAATTATATTTTGGCAAAGTAACTAAAAGAAGACAAAGATAAAACAAAAGGAAAGAAAATTAGTTCTTAAAATATAAGAGCTTAGCAACAAACATTTCAGTTGTAAGGCACAAACTTAACAATAAGAACGCTTAGCAACAAACATTTCAGTTGTAAGGCACAAACTTAACAATAAAAACGCTTAGCAACAAACATTTCACTAGTAAGACACAAAACTCAACAATAAAAACGCTTAGCAACAAACATTTCAGTAGTAAGACACAAAACTCAACAATAAAAACACTTAGCAACAAACATTTCAGTACTAAGACACAAAACTCAACAATAAAAACGCTTAGCAACAAACATTTCAGTAGTAAGGCACAAAACTTACCTTCAGTACAAAGGCTTGAGGTCATAACTACTATAAAGACAAAAATGTCTTTGATAAATATCCGTGAAAAGTTCATCTTTTTTCGTGTACCAACAAAATGAAAAGGGACTCTTGTTACGGCTTCCCTTCGGAATCTGTCCAAAATAAATAGTTTCTGAGACAAATTAAACTAAAGATGAATCATATAAATGTTT